GGTCTGACCTGCTCTGTTTGGAAAGAGCTGTGAGATAACTGTTGTTGTGATGTGGCGCTATAGAAATAAAATTGAATTTAATTGAATTGAATTGAATTGAATTGAATTGAACTGTGTTCCAGAGCTGCCTCCAGATGTCCGGCAGGTGCTGGTCATCAAAGAGGAGGTGCCGTGGAGCTCCAGTGTGGACATAAAGAAGGAGGAGGAGGACCTCTGGAGCAGTCCGGGGGGGGGGCAGCAGGACCTCCCGTTCACTGTCGTAACCGTGAAGGCCGAGGAGGAGGAGGAAGAGGAGGGAGCCCCGCCCCCCCGCCTTCACCAGACCGAAGGCAGCAGAGAGGCAGCAGAACAGACTGGGGCTGACGGGGACCCCTGGGGAGGACCAGAACCAGAACCAGGACCAGAACCAGGACCAGAACCAGGACCAGCCGGAGACCCGGATCCAAGCAGCAGTTTGCAGCAAAACGCGGATGAAAAGGAGTTTTGCGAAACTGAAGTCAGTCTCGGGGAGGACGATCGGGACTGGTCGGATTCTGGATCTGAAAACGGGGCCAGTGACAAACACTGGAAACGGAGGGCGAAACCGGGGTCAGGGGTGAACCGCGACGGGGGGGGGGGCTCCGGCAAAAATTCCTTTGGCTGCTCTGAGTGTGGTAAACAGTTTCTGTCCAAACAGACCTTTAAGTCCCACATGAGAGTCCACGATGGGGGGCAACCCTTCGCCTGCGTCTACTGTGGGAAAAGATTCAATCACAACTCCCACCTGAAGACCCACATGAGAGTCCACACCGGAGAGAAACCCTTCGGCTGCGACGTCTGCGGGAAAAGGTTCAGCGAGCGAGGAAGTCTGTCGAGCCACACGAGAGTCCACACGGGGGAGAAACCTTTTGGCTGTGATGTTTGTGGGAAAACGTTTAGCGAGCGAGGGAGTCTTTCGAGTCACCTGAGGGTCCACACAGGAGAGAAACCCTTTGTGTGCGATTTCTGTGGGAAAAGATTCAACCAAAACGCAAATCTGAAGACGCACATGAGGGGCCACACCGGAGAGAAACCGTTCAGCTGCGACGTTTGTGGGACTAGTTTTAACCGAAAAGCTCATCTCACGACGCACACGAGGGTCCACACGGGAGAGAAACCGTTTGGCTGCGATGTCTGTGGGAAAAGATTCAACAGGAAGGCTCATCTCACCACACACATGAGGGGACACACGGGGGAGAAGCCGTTCGGCTGCGACGTCTGCGGGAAAAGATACAGCGAGCGAGCGACTCTCTCGTGTCACATGAGGGTCCACACCGGGGAGAAACCCTTCGCCTGCGACGCCTGCGGTAAAAGATTTAACTATAAGTCACACTTTAAGAACCACCTGAGAGTCCACGCAGGAGAAAAGGATCCGGCTAAAACCCAAACCGAAGTCTAGCTGCCTGTAAATGAACTCCTGTCTGATCGTAGTACTTTTGGAGTATTTGGGGTATGAAGGATTGTTGCTAAACAGCTAAATAAGCTTTCAGCTTTATGGATGAGCAGTGAAGCTGTGAAGTGGGGAGGGCCTTCATTTAGTTTAAGCAGCATGTTAGCTAGCCCCCACCTCAGACCCTGCTGAGTGCACAAGAATAAAGCAGCATTTATGCTCCCGTTATCTATTACATTTCCTCATGGTCTGATTTACAATCAGCTTTAAATTTGAAAACTCGAACCTAACTGGTTTCCATAAAAAGGAGGATCAGATGTGCGACTTTCAGCTTACAAATGTTAGCAGGTCAAATGTAGTTACAAAAAGAAAAAAAGACTTTCTTTTATCTTTGACGCTACAGAAAATCTTCTTGAACGTCTTGTCACAACTTAGATGGAATTGTTGTTTGTATGAAAAAGAAACTTCATAAATGTGATTTATCATATTGAAAAAGGAAAATGGATCCAGAGTACCCTCGCCCGGGCGCGGGCTACCGGGGCCCCCCCCTGGAGCCAGGCCCAGGGGCGGGGCACCATGGCGAGCGCCTGGTGGCCGGGCCTTCACCCATGGGGCCCGGCCGGGCCCAGCCCGAAAAGGTTACATGGGTCCCCCTTCGCACGGGCCCACCACCCGTGGGAGGGGCCATAGGGGTCGGGTGCGTTGTGCCCTGGGCGGCAGCCGGAGTCGGGGATCTTGGCGGACTGATCCCCGGCTGCAGAAGCTGGCTCTAGGGACGTGGAACGTCACCTCTCTGGCGGGGAAGGAGCCTGAGTTAGTGTGCGAGGCGGAGAGATTCCGGCTGGACATCGTCGGTCTCGCCTCGACACACAGCTCTGGCTCTGGAACCAGCCTTCTCGAGAGGGGTTGGACGCTCTGCTACTCTGGAGTTGCCCCCGGTGAGAGGCGCCGAGCAGGAGTGGGCATACTCATTGCCCCCCATCTCGGTGCCTGTACGTTGGGGTTTACCCCAGTGAGCGAGAGGGTAGCATCCCTTCGCCTTCGGGTGGGGGGACGGGTCCTGACTGTCGTTTGTGCCTATGCGCCTAGCGGC